AATTATGCAAATTAGGTAATTAATATGTACTGATATTACCATAAAAACTATCAGGTCTGTGCAGTGTCGTATGACATCTATGTACCAAGTTTCATTGAAATGTGATGATTAGTACTTGAGATATCAGTGGAAAAACCGAAAATTGACTAATCATTATGCAAATTAGGTAATTAGTATCCACGGATTATTACCAAAAACTAATCAAAACCTAGCATTAGTTCAGAGCATCTATGTACCAAGTTTCATCAAAATCCAATGAGTGGTTGTTTAGATATCAGTGGAACAGTCATGGAACCACTAAAAAATAGCTAATTATCATGCAAATTAGGTAATAATTATGCACGGATTTTTACCAAAAATTAATCAAATCTGCGCATATGTTCAGAGCATCTATGTACCAAGTTTCATCAAAATCCAATGAGTGGTTCTTTAGATATCAGTGGAACAGTCATAGAACAGCTAAAAATTAGCTAATTATCATGCAAATTAGGTAATTAATGAGCATGGATTTTTACCAAAACCTAATCAAATCTGCGCATTGGCCCAGAGCATCTATGCACCAAGTTTCATCAAAAACCGATGTATGGTTCTTGAGATAGCAGTGGAACAGTCGGACACACATACACACATACACACACACATACACACATACACACATACAGACACACTAACTGCAAAGACTCCCATTTTGTGCTTCGCACATGGGAGTCAAAAATTGTTAAATTCCATTCCATGATATGCAATAATACTCTAAACCTCATAATTTCACGTTGTGCTGTGTTCAATCATGCTCCCATACAGCATAAACAAGACAACTAAAACTAAAATGTACTGATATTTCAATGCATGCTGTGTGACGTCTAGGTTACTTTCAGTTAATACTGTTCACAGTAGGAAATGTTAGCTAAAAAAATTACATTCTATACTGAAAAAAAATGTATTAAAGTTCAAATAACAGTATTCATTTAGTGTTTTCATAAAAATAAATTGTTTTTATATGAATGGAAGTCTCACATTGACTTCATTTTAGGTTATATCAAGGGCAGATAAAAGATAAGGGCTATATGTGGAGTGGGTAATTCCACAGCAAAGCACACAAATTAGGCAAATTTCAAGTGAGAAAGACTGTGACAGAAATGGTTATTGTGTATTTTTGTTGTGTATGGTTGCTATGGTTATTGTGTATTTTTGTTGTGTATGGTTGCTATGGTTATTGTGTATTTTTGTTGTGTATGGTTGCTATGGTTATTGTGTATTTTTGTTGTGTATGGTTGCTATGGTTATTGTGTATTTTTGTTGTGTATGGTTGCTATGGTTATTGTGTATTTTTGTTGTGTATGGTTGCTATGGTTCTTGTGTAATTTTGTACTGTGTGTGGTTGCTTTCTTGACATTAGAATCACCATTTATTTTAAAAACCAGACCCTTCTTCAAAAGTTCTTTTGAGGATAGCGAAACATTCAGCCAATCATAACAAAACATGGGTATTACCGTGTATTTGGGGAAAGGTTGAATGAACAATAGCAAAAGTACTTGGTTTTTCCCTGAACATTCTTTATGGTAGAACAGCACTATTCTCACTTTAGTGAAATTCACAATAAAATGTCATTACATATCCATGTGATTTCAAACCATCAATGGTTATGCAAGTTGCATACCCTCATCTATTATCAACCTTTGAATACGTCTATGTACTTTGTATTTAGAAAACCCAATTTAAGTTGTTCATGTTTCCTTTTCCACTGTCTGTTTCTTAGCAACAACTTCACTATCACCCTTTTCATCCACTGCTTTTCTTTTCATGCTTTCTTTGATTTGATTAGCAATAGTTTCCTTGGCAACCTTCAATATTTCTGTAGCACCTTCATTCTGCAGTGTGATGGCGAGATCCTTCCCAAGATTCTCAGCAGTATACATTGCATTCTGGGAAACATCTTGTGCAATAATACCAACAAACAGCTTGTTATTAGTTTCCTTCTGCAAAATCATGAAAAATTTGATCCATTAACAAGAAAATTTTCACTGGCAAAATATAATATCTGTATGTTTCGTCTGTGCATAATAATAATAATAACACTTTATTATCACCGTAAAGAAATTTAAAATCTTTAAAATAAAGTTAAATTAATAAACATGAACACATTAATTATAATAAAAGTATCAAAACAAATAAAGTTACTAAATGCTTCTTTTCAAGTTTGCATTATCAATGTATTGGATTAGTGCTTTCAGTAAATAAATATCTGATATGTTGATGATTGTCTTCAATTTTTCTGTTTTGTCCATCTCGTGTAAATTATTAAATATTTTGTTAAATTCATTGTAAAGATGTAATGAAGTGATTTCATCTTCTTATACATTGCATGTTTTGCATATTCTGAGTGGTGTTTTTGGACGAGTATGTCTTCCTAATTTGATTGTGGCAACTAAGCCATAATTTTGCCAGTGTTTCAACATCATGGAGTTTATTTAATTTAGTTAAATATGGTGCTTGTTTAATTTAATTTTTTATTTGTCTGTATGTCCATAGTTTATTGTAGTAGTCTTTAGATATTTAACTATAAGATTCTAATGCCATGTATTATGGTCTCATAGTAACCATAGCAACCATGTGGTTGTTGTCAGCCAATTGACTTTTTTTCTTGTTTTATTTGAAATATAATGTTTAAAGGCGAACTTCAATTTCGTGAACAAGTCTTGGTGAACCATGAATCTGGGCAACAAAACTGGAATATTGAAGGTAGAAATGTGACAAATCAGTGTTTTGTTAACATCCATGTTATTAGAAATTTTGGACAGAATTCCTAGTTTCCGAATTGATAGTTTTTGCACGTTCATTGTTGTGTGAGTCAACAAATCGGAAGGTAGGACAGATTTTAAACGTTCCAAACACGCTGTGCAGCTAGCATCAATTTTTCCAACTCGCAACGTTAAAAATCCCTGAAATAAAACTCATCTTTCAACTAACTCCTACTAGCCTCTGAAAATTTGCACACTATTCTGCCTAAGCAAGAATAACGAGCATGCAAATTATCTATAGCATATTTTCATATTCTTTGCGGGTATTTTTGGAGTTGAAATCTATGTTACAGTCATATTTACTCTGTGAAACACACACGTACTATCTCTATTTCAGTCCATTTTCTCTAAAAATTATCTTTTTCTACTGGAAATCCATGTTTCTCAGCTGTCTTAAATAGTTCGTTGTTTGTACCCACCCACACTCACTCCACTATCTTTAAAAAAAACTGATTCAAATATGCCGCTGACTTCTTCCGGGTTGCATGTTTTGACTTTTTATATTTTTGTCCTACCCTCACCCGTTGTTAGGTAGGTTACGCATGCAAAAATGGAATTACATCGCGTATGACGGTAATTCGGGAATTGAGAATTTATCACATACATGTGGTTTCAGTAAATTAAAACAAACTTTTGATCTTTGAAATCTGTTTTTTTTGAAGAAATTCACACTACCGGTAATAATATTGCTGTCTAAGGAAAGCTATTGAAATGTACGAAACGTGATGGTACAAACACTGGAATACATAATTGCAAAGAAGGTAAGCAGTGAGCTATCCATACCTTAAGTGTTTCTATTTGTTCGGACAAATCCTTCTCAGATGACTTTTTAATACACTGCGAACCATCAAGACTCAAAGCAGCACCAGTCAACTCTAACTGCAAATACAGACGAATTTGTTTTAGTGACAATCTCTATATAGCAACCACCTGCCTATAGTGACCATATTTTCACATACTAGTATTCATTCTTGTTTAGAGACCAAAATAATAAAAAAACAATGTTTAATGGTTTACTCAATTAAATATGTTTTTGTACCAATACCATCACATTATTTTTTGGATCCATAAAAAAGTAATTCGAAAAGACCATTTTTAAAGAAGTCCTTTGGATAGTTGCTTTTTACATTTTTTATTTTATTTTAAATACCTTGTTATTTTTAACTTCACTATGTACTGCTACAGGTGCACTACATCCACCTTCAAGTTGCCGTAAAAACGCTCGTTCACTGATGCATCGTATTAATGTATCATCATCATGGAGCTTGGAAACCAGTTTGATTGTTGGTTGATCATTTTCTCTTACTTCTACACCCAAAGCTCCTTGACCAACAGCATACATACAATCTTCTGGGTCCAGTATCTAGAATTAAAAGTATCTTCAAATATACAACACATTTACTCTACTCGTTTTACTCTGTATTAGAGGGAAAGTGTAAAAAGCAAACTCTACATTTTAGTTTATTCCTAGAATGTGTGGGAAGTCGTAGATTTGAGTGTACATGATATTTTTTATTACCAGATGTCCAGTAGTCAGACATGACACATGTACCTATTATTATGTAACTAGAGGTTTATGTGAACATAACCTAAAACAGACCCTGAGAGCAATACATTGAGAGTTCTTGTATAACCCTGTGAGGATTTTGAACTTGAGTGGGAAACTTGAACAGGAAAGTTTAATACTTAAATAATAACACATGTTTGTGAGGGTAATATCATGATTTGTTGCCTGCCCAAGGGATGGTGGTCATGACCATAATATTGATGATGCCAGAGCCGAAGGGGAGGGCATCATCAATATTATGGGCATGACCAACAGCTCGAGGGCAGAGAACAAATTGTGATATTGCCCGAATAATCATGTGTTATTAATTTTATCACATCAAACAGACATCAACCATGACAATCACATCTATTGATGTCACGTTGATGTGACTGAAATTACTTTCTCACTAAAGTACCACACCTTCTATACACAAGTCACACAGCTTTAGATCGTTTTCGGTTATCATCGATGTGCAACGCGTAGAAATGCTCACAGGGTAGAACGCGCCACAGCAACCCCGGCTGCAATGGCTTTGCTGTACATTTTTGCTTCATATAAAAATATCCTAAACATCAAAACAGAGTATCTTACTTAATATCCATTATGGTACATTTGCTTTCTATTTCTGATGGATAAAGTTCCTTCAAAACCTTGAAAGCAACCCCGAAAACAAAAACGGCAGAGGAAGCACCAGTGCAGTGAAAGACAATTTGTTATGCGCTGTATCATTGCGCAGTAGTTTCAGTGACCTCATCCATGTAATATATCATGTAAAATCCATTTTATTCAATGTCATGTGACTGAGCCTCAACCAATCACAGCATGCGTAACAACAGTGAGAGGTGATACAAATATATAAACACCCATTGATGTTTTCTCTCACGTTTGCACATAGCATGGCAAGCAGCTATCCAATCAAGGTGGTAAATTCAAGCATGGCAAGCAGCTATCCAATCAAGGTGGTAAATTCGTTTGCATGGCAAGCAGCTATCCAATCAAGGTGGTAAATTCAAGCATTCAGCCACTCATTGCATGCTAATTCTATTCAGCTATCCAATCAAGGTGGTAAATTCAAGCATTCAGCCACTCATTGCATGCTAATTCTATTCAGCTATCCAATCAAGGTGGTAAATTCAAGCATTCAGCCACTCATTGCATGCTAATTCTATTCAGCTATCCAATCAAGGTGGTAAATTCAAGCATTCAGCCACTCATTGCACATAGCATGGCAAGCAGCTATCCAATCAAGGTGGTAAATTCAAGCATGGCAAGCAGCTATCCAATCAAGGTGGTAAATTCAAGCATTCAGCCACTCATTGCATGCTAATTCTATTCAGCTATCCAATCAAGGTGGTAAATTCAAGCATTCAGCCACTCATTGCACATAGCATGGCAAGCAGCTATCCAATCAAGGTGGTAAATTCAAGCATGGCAAGCAGCTATCCAATCAAGGTGGTAAATTCAAGCATTCAGCCACTCATTGCATGCTAATTCTATTCAGCTATCCAATCAAGGTGGTAAATTCAAGCATTCAGCCACTCATTGCATGCTAATTCTATTCAGCTATCCAATCAAGGTGGTAAATTCAAGCATTCAGCCACTCATTGCACATAGCATGGCAAGCAGCTATCCAATCAAGGTGGTAAATTCAAGCATGGCAAGCAGCTATCCAATCAAGGTGGTAAATTCAAGCATTCAGCCACTCATTGCATGCTAATTCTATTCAGCTATCCAATCAAGGTGGTAAATTCAAGCATTCAGCCACTCATTGCATGCTAATTCTATTCAGCTATCCAATCAAGGTGGTAAATTCGTTTGCATGGCAAGCAGCTATCCAATCAAGGAAGTAAATTCTCACGTTTGCACATAGCATGGCAAGCAGCTATCCAATCAAGGTGGTAAATTCTCACGTTTGCACATAGCATGGCAAGCAGCTATCCAATCAAGGTGGTAAATTCTCACGTTTGCACATAGCATGGCAAGCAGCTATCCAATCAAGGTGGTAAATTCTCACGTTTGCACATAGCATGGCAAGCAGCTATCCAATCAAGGTGGTAAATTCTCACGTTTGCACATAGCATGGCAAGCAGCTATCCAATCAAGGTGGTAAATTCTCACGTTTGCACATAGCATGGCAAGCA